CCACAGGAAGCCAAGGTAGTTGATCCCACTGAGTTCAAATCAGGGAGGAAAGCAAGGAAAGCCCCGCCCACTTCCCCCTCCTTCTTCAGTTCAGGAGTCCAGTCTGTGGAGGATTGCCACCCTCAGTGGGTTTTCCCACTTCAGTAAACTTAACATAATCTTTCACAAGCATGGCTCACAGGTAATTCTAGATCCCATCAAGTTGACAATGGATATAAATCATCACAACTTTCCACTGAAAAGCCTTTTATTTAGAAGAGTACATATAATTGAGAAAGAATTTAGGGACTATAGGATGACATGAAATAATTTCCAAAGTCATGTCATTCTTCTTTAAAAGATTTTTTAAAAGGGACTTGACTTTATTACGGATTCGTGTGTTTATTCATGTGCTTAAGTGTGTGCCTGTGTGAGTTTGTGTGTACCATGTCTGTGCCAGTGCCCACAAGGCCAGAGGGCAAATTGGAGTTACAATCTGTGAAACACATGGTGTGTGTGTTAGCAACCAAGTCCAGTTACTCTGAAAGAGGAGTAAGCACTCTTAACCATTGAGCCATCTCTTTGGCGCACCAAATTTTATTTATTTTTATTTTTATTTGAGTGAATGCGTGTATGTCTGTCTGCCATGGGAACACAGGTGTCTGCAGAAGCCAGAAACAAGCTTCAGGTCCCTTGGAGCTGGAATTACAGGTGGTTGTGAGCTGCTAAATGTGGATTCTTGGCACGCAACATGGGTCTTTTGGAAGAACAAGAAGCACTTTTAACTACTGAGCCGTCTCTCCAGCCTCAAATTTGTTTATGGGGAGTGGTGCATGTACTGTGGCATACATGTGAGGGTCAGAGAACACATTTGGCATTTTTTTTTCCCATACACCATGTGGGTACCAGGTTTCAAAATCATATTGGTGGCCAGTGCCTTTGCCAGATGAGCCATCTCAATGGCCTCAAATATTTTCTGGGGCGGGGGGGGGTTGTTTTGTTTTGATTTGATTTTTGAGACAGAGTCTCACTATGTAGCCTTGCTACCCTGAAACTTGCTATGTAGACCAGGCTGGCACAAAACTCACAGAGATCCACCTGCCTTCAGAGGGCTAGGATTAAAGGTGTGTGCCACTATGCCCAGCATGGAATATAATAATGTATTGTTTCTCTTCACAGGTAATATAAAGAATGAACATATAAAGAATGAATTCTGTTTAAAATTGCTTACTTAAACTTTGGATCCACTCTGTGGCTAAAGCTTCCTGAGAATTGTGTCCAGAACTAATCTGATCACTAGCAAAAAGACAAAGAGCCTTCTCCAGTTCACCTTTTGCCCAGGTTATGTCTGCCTTTACTGGAGCACATTGTGGGTTATTCCTGCAGTCTTAGACTCCTGAGATAGACGTCTGTACAAAATAATGTTAACTGGAAAATTCAGGATTTAAAAAAAAATTATATATAAATCTTATTTAAATTAGAAACTATCTTATTTTACATATGAATCCCAGTCCCTCTCCCTCTCATCCTCCCATCCCCCTCCCATCCCATCCCCCATACACTCCCCAGGGAAGGTGAGGCCTTAGATGAGGGATCATTAAAATTTGTCAAGTCATTTGGGTAAGGTCTTAAGCCCTCCCCTGTGTATCTAGGCTAAGAGAGTATCTCTCCATGGGAAATGGGCTCCCAAAGTCTCTTTGTGCACTAGAGATACATCCTCATTCCATTGCCAGAGGCCCCATAGACTGCCCAGTGCTCCTAACTGACACCCATGGATTTTTTTATCCATAATATTTTCCATTTACTTATTATTATCCTACACTGAGTCACTGACTTGCACAAAACTGTTTTGTTTTCTATTTTTTATATGCACTGAGCAATGTGAGTCACTGAAAATTTAAAAAGAAAACCCACGGGATTAAATAAAAGAGATCCCATATGAACTACAGATGGAGTTCAGTTGGTAGAGTGCCTGACTGACATGGGGGAATTTCCCAGTTTGGTCTCCAGCATCACATAAAACTAGGAGACATAGCATAAGCTTGTAATCTCAGCATTCAATCAGTGGAGGCAATAGGAGCTGAAGTTCAAGGTTATGTGCAGCTGTAAGTGGAGTTCCAAACAAGCCTGGCTACACAAAACCCTGAAAGACATGAATGACCATACTGTGCGTGCTTACCAATATTGGTAGCTTATTGGTGTGTGTATCATACAAATTATTAAGAACCTGGTATTGTAACTCTGAGTAGTGTACATCATTTTAACACCAATTTCTTTCCCGTAACTATGTCTATATAGCATTTGTCACTCAATTTTATAGACACACTTTAAATTACTTGTTATATAACATCTTAATTCTTTTATAATTTTCCTTCTAGAAATGTGAAGAGTTTTCCATAGGTGTATGCAACTATTTACTTGATTTCAATCATTTCATTAGTTATACATGATAGGTTAAATGTTTCAAGATAGTATGTCTTTGGTAAAGTATTTCTGGGACACTGGATAGTGATAATAATTGTTTACCATAAAATTTCAATTTAAATTCCCACTAGTTGGAAGTTTGTGGCTTTCAGTACTTACAGTCTAACCTTTTAAAATTATATATTTAGTTATTCATTTATTTTATATTTAATTGTGTGTCAGCTCAATTCCAAGCATCCACATGACAGCTCACGAATATCTGTAACTTCAGAATCAGGGCCTCCACTGTCCTTTTCTGGCTTTCAGGGTGAGGGCACACACATGGTGTACATAGGTAGAAGCAGGCAAAACACACATACACATTTTTAAAGAAAATGAATAAAAAAGTGTGTTTTGTCTTTTCACTGTTTTCCATAGAGCAATTAAAATTAAAAAACTGTGCCTTTCTGATAAGTTAATGTGTTTTCTTCTGGGACACCTCTCATGTCAGGGTCTAAATCCTTTTTAGCTAGACTGAACGTGGCTCCTGGATTTTACATCTCAAGAGTGAATCATTCAGAAGGTAGGCTGATGCCACCTGACACAGATCATGCTAGAAGCTTTGGCTTTCTCGTTACTTTACCCTCTGTTGTGTTCTTCTTTCTAAAACCACTTACCTTGAAATATTGAAGAGCCATGATATTTGGAACAGAGGGTTATAAAGTTCAGTTTGTGTCTGCAAAACATGGCCTTGGTATGGCTGTATGGTATTAGATAAGGTACCTAATAGTGGCCATCTGGAGGCCTATGAATCATCACAATGTGGCTCATACCAGAATGACCCCCAGAAAAAACACTGATGTAATCCTGGCAGAATGCCGGTGTGTGTGTGTGTGTGTGTGTGTGTGTGTGTATGTGTGCGCGCGCGCGTGCGTTGTATACATATAACCTTGATGTCAGATACTTTTACCACTACTTTCAGGAGCTTTCCTGTGTGTATCTTGTCTGTAGGCCTATGTGCCTACCTCCAAGAAGCCAGTACATTGGTCTATGGGTGTTTCCATGTCTGCCTGTATGCAGTCCATGTGTGCCAGCAGGTGCCTGGGTACCTGCAGGCAGCTGCCTACCTAACAGACTGTGTGCTGGTAAATAATGTCTTATCTGCCCTTGGCTCCTCTCAGGCTCTTCAACCTCGACTCTCTTCAACCTCAAGTCTTCCCATCACCCTCTTCCTTTCATGGTATCAGTGTCAGTGACCTCACACATGGTCAGCATCTTGCTTTTATAGAGTACAGAGCATCTCTAAAATTAAAACAGGGCATGTCCAAGATGGAAAGGGGTGGGGTGAATAAGGACTCCAGCTTTAGAAAGTCACCAGGAACAGTTCAAAGACATATCTGGACCCATTCCGACTAGAGAATTGGTTTAATTAATTTGGGGGCAGCGGTTGCCACCAGTACTTTGAAGGAACCATCGGCAATTCTAATGGGAACCCAGTAGCAAGACTGTTGAAACTTCTGTCTCTTTGGATGCTGGATTGAATTCTACTAAATAGATTAGCTGCCAAGTATAAGGAGTGAAGAATTGATTTAAGTATTTGTGTAGCCCCCTGCCTCCTGCTGGTTATCCAGCTGTCAGCTTTCCCAGAGGAATGGCCACCCAGTTCCCTTTCTATATTATCAACAGCCGATATCGAAGACTTTCCTTGACACCATTGTGCTTTTATCTTCCATGGTTTCAGCACATGAGCTCCTTGTTCCCTACACCCCCAAGTCCAAACACTCAATTTACACAAATGTGCAGCCTCCAGAGGCTCTGGGTAGAGGCAGAGGAGGTGTTCTCTTGGGACAGGATTCTCCACCAGACCATGCACTTGCACAAATTTTCTGAACCCACTCTACCTGAGGATCCTCCCTGTCATGTAGGGATGGTATGAGAGAGTCTTTGTGTGGGTTTGGTGAAAGTTGTGAGCTACTCACACAGAGCATTAAAACTGATATATAACAGTTAGTGTGGACCCAATAAATGTGAACTGCTGTAGTTAGAGACAAACACCTTGCCTCTTAAATACCTCTTGCTACCAGAGGAACAAAGCTTTCTGTGCAAATCAATGTTGGGTAAATTGGATAGGTAAATTGGGCCCACCAAGCCCATTGCAGATAACAGCCTCATCCTTAATTACCATACACAAGTTCCAGTCTTCTGCTGACACTTTGATTTTACACTGTAGTGTTGGAAATATTTTGTGATATTCATTCAATGTTTTAAGTAAATTGGAGAATATACAAAACCAGATATGAATTATCCTTACTTCAAGCTCTATCCCCACCAGATGTGCTATTATAGAGAACAAACAGACAAAAATCTTATTTTGAAATTTTGGTGTAAGATTGGCCCAGCTGCAAAGATCTTTAGCAAAGTTTGTTGGTCTAAGAGACCAACTTGGTCAGAAAAGGAATTGGTTCCCCGGGGACTATTTCTAGCATTGAGTGAATGGTGACTATGTTAAGCTAACGGTTCAAAGTTTGCTTGTTGTTACTTCATGACAGGCTAAATGGAAATGAGTGATTCATATTCCACACATGCACATGCCTTAGGTGTTGTGGTTTGTTTTTCAGATGGGGGTTAATGTGGTGGACTCTGCTGTTTCCGGGTTAGGTGGCTGTCCTTATGCAAAAGGTGCTTCAGGGAATGTAGCCACTGAGGATTTGATATACATGCTTAACGGCATGGGGCTCAATACAGTAAGTTCTTTCAGCACACTTTTTAATATCCGTGCTTTCTTTTCAGGTTCAAACAGGAATACTTTCTCAAACTTGAAAAGCAACTGAGGTCAAAGTTTTACTACACATTTGCAATTTGCTGTAATGTACAGAGTGAAAATACAGTGAAAGGGTTTCAGGGACTTTGTAAGTGCTTATTGCTATAGCTCAGGCACCAACAGTGCTCTCATTCTGTGTTATAAAGTTTTATGAACTCCGAAATAATTTCCCATATATTATCTGCTTTGACTTTATACACTAACTGTGTGAGAGCTCATGTCCTTGAGATTACAATGCTGTGTGCTTTTGCTTTTAGTAAGAAGCTGAGATCCTCAGTCAGGCAGGGATTATGTTGGCCTGGCTTTCTGACACTTGGCAAATGGTCAGTGGAAGAAAAAAAATTAATTAAACTTTAGATGTAAGACACTAGGTGGCAAGCATAGCCTCTTTCTAAGTACCTGCAAAGGTAGGTCTTGTATGCTAACACCTGATGAGCTTTCTTTATGCTTAGTAACAAAATCTATCAGCATAGAGGAGATTCTATTTTACGGGAAACTATGAAAGGGCAAGAAAACTGTTCTGAGATTGTTGCATATCCTAATCATTAAAGCTAACACTAATTTCCCCTCCCTCCTTCCTCTCCAGTCTCACTGTGATTACACGGACCTTTCCATAGTATTCAACTCCCCTGCCATTCCAATCTGTTCTTCACTGCTTCCCCTTACTTATGCTTTTATGTTATTCTGAGCGGTCTTTTACATCGTGCCTTATTTCATCTAGAAAGTGAAGTACTGTCAACCGGTCCATTCCTAGCATCACTCTGACTATACCTCAGGCAAAGATGTAAAGATCTTGGTGCTTCCCTGGAATTCTGTATTTTTATTTGTTCATGGTCCCTAGGGTTTTATCGCAGTATTGTTTATTCTTCTAGCTTCTTGGGCATTCAAGATGAAATTGTCATAGCTTATTCTCACTCAGTGTCTGTAACATACAGATGCTCAATAAATTTTCATTGAGATTTTACCTGGCACCAAAGACTAACAGGTGTCTATAAACAACAAAATCTATTGCTTGTTTTCTCTGTAGGAAAGTATAGGTTTGTTTACACAGAGGCCTAATCATTGTTTTGGAAGGCAGTGACTGAAAATGAAAAGAAATGGATCCTTTCTTAGAACTAATGAATGAAGTTTAATTAACAACTAGTGTTAAATGTAGCTTAAGGTTTCAGTGCCAAATTGCAGAAAATCAAATGTCACCCTAAGGACTGGTCAGGTAGAGGAGGATTTTAACACTGAGGAGCACTGCAGTCACTGCCAATCACAGTCCCAGTTACTTACCAAGAGCAAGCAATTATAGAACCTTAGTTCTTGGCCGAGTGCTCATCGGCTTCACTAATTGTGGTTCTAGACTTGCATGTGAGTTCATCACAAGTACAAGATTTAATCTGTACTGCAAGGGTACACATACACCATGCTTCTGCTTACGCAACTGCCAGTGAGCTTATATTTCTTCCAAAAGAAGGCTTGCTGTACAACACATTCTGGCCTGTTGGTACCTTCTCCATTACAAACACCATCTGTGACATCTTTGCCCACTGTTACCTACACGCACTGTGGCTCTCCTCATCCTCCACATAAAATGTGCATTTTTTCTAGGTCTTTTGTGCTGATCTTCTTTTCTTACACTGCCTCTTGTAGCTTCTTACTCCTCACCACACAGAACGTGAGTTGTACCTTTACAGCCTCTTCCCTGGCACGTTCTTTCTACTCTTTCCTTGTGAGTTACTTGGTCTTTTTAATCACGTGGGCATATCTCTCTCCACGGACTCAAGTATAGTACAGAAATTTATAATTATGAGTCTGTAATTGCCCATGCACACAAAAGCTTCACGAAGATAAAATAATATACAATCAATGTGTAACTTCATCATATATCATTTACTTCCTAGACATCTGATAAATGATTTAAGATTAAATATAGTATTTTTATAATCACTCAGTTAATTAAATGAAATTATAGAGAAAGTTCAAAACAAAATTATTTCTTGAAATAATGCTAGCATATTCTATGCATAATTGTTAGAAATTCTTACAAAGTTTAGAGGAACATTAATGACTGAAATACTCCAACAAACTCTTGCTGGATCTAATTCAGAAGTGTAAGACATACGAAACTATTTAGATACCATTGTATTAGGAATTTAAATTAAAATGTAGACTCAGATACTCCATGGCAAAAACAAATTTCTCAAATCAAAAAGAATGCTGCTCCCCTAAAAGCATGTTAATCATGTAAAAGAAGATAAAAATGGTTTTAAAGAATCACTTTACAAAACTTTTCATGACCATTATTAAAAATAGAAACAAAAAGGAGTGTTCTGAAACATCTCTAGAAAGAGAAATTAAAGTGAACATGTTATCAAAAGCTTTGTGAATTTTTATCCTTATTCATTTTAGGAGAAAGTCGGATTTCCATGCATAATAAAAATAGCTACTAGCAGTTTATTAACAAAGATTAGTTTTTATTGTTAAATCTCACTGTTTCTAGTTCATGTTGAAGAAGAATGTAACGGCATGTGAGATGCTGCATGGAGGCAAATAAAGGTGGACACTCCCATACACGTGTCTTCCCAGTCACAGCAAAAGTACTGGGCAAAACACTGTTGCTATTCCAAGGTGCACAGAGGAGGACTGTGCCCTGAACTTGGCCTTCTCACCAACTGTAATCTGTCATCCATGGAATTTCCTAAGCTTCAGTCGCTTTTATTTATCCTTTCACATAAGGTGTTAGACACAGAAGGTGCCATTGTATATAAAATTGTATACTAAATATTGCTCATTTTCTCTGATTTGTAGGTCCCCATTTCATACCATGTCACAGTTCTGCATATGGTCAAAAGAAAAAAAGACAAACAAACAAAACACCATCCATCTTTTTAGGAATCCATATAAATGTATCCAGTTTGTTTCCATTTTTTTCCCTTTTTTGGTTGGTTTTTCCAGACAGGGTTTCTCTGTGTAGCTTTGGGACCTATCTTGGCACTCACTCTGTAGACCAGGCTCTGAACTCACAGAGATCTGCCTGCCTCTGCCTCCCGAGTGCTGGGATTAAAGGCGTGCACCACCAATGCCCGGCTCAGTTTGTTTCTTTATATATAATAAAGACATTATTTTTCCCAATTTAGTTTTTAGCTATAAACTTCTCCAATTCATTATTACCTTATTTCCTCATCCCTGATATTTTATGGACAGTTTTCCAATTCTATGATTGTCCTTCTTAAACATTAGAGATGTTTGTGAATTATACTGTTATTTGGAGGAGTTCCCTCCAAATAACATGCTTTAATAAAGTATATTAAAGCATGCTTTAATAAAGTAGAGACATCTAAAACACTGCCTACATAGTTTATGGAAATAAATGTTGACCCTGAATTGATAATGAGCAAAACAATGTTTGACATTTTAAACAGTTAGGCAACTACTAGTGAGAAATAAAAAGAATTTGCTTTATCTATTTTAATTCTTCACTCTAATTCCTTGTCTCATTCAGTGTCTTTTATTTTTCCTTGACAGGGTGTGAATCTCTACAAAGTGATGGAAGCTGGTGACTTTATTTGCAAGGCAGTGAATAAAACCACAAACTCTAAAGTCGCACAAGCTGCCTTCAAAGCTCGACTTGAATGAATTTGGGATTTAAGACTTAAAAGATCCATTTCAGTTCCAATTCATTGCAGAATCATTAATGCCAACTCATTCTGAAGTGGAAGTTAATTATATAGAGCTGGGAAAGAAGAGATGCTATGAAAAAAATTATCACTGGGCAGATCATGAAGTAGACAGAAGGTAATACCAGCCATTGGTGGAATTGCAAGTTGAGAATTTAACACTGGCAGACATCCTTCTGTATGTGGACAAAGCCTGCTCATTTGTGCTACAGAAATAATTTAATTTTTACCTTAGTAGATGTGAAAATTGACTTAAGATTTCTCTGAGTATCGAGTACTGTGTTAATACTTCATCAAGCCAGCTTACCACAGGGTACATATTGTTAGTAGTTTACAAGCTTCGACACAATGCAGAGTGTGGGGCCCTGACGTGATTTTCTGCCTCTGGATCCCGACTTTCCATTTGCCAAGTTTGTTAAGTTATGGACCAAGTGCCAAATTTTCATCTGATTCTACATAATTTTTAGCAATAGAACTTTTATATTTCAAGTATGGCTAACATCTGTTAACTATTTCAATGACTTTACTGTGCTCCAAGATGCTGTGGTCAATGGCAAGATGCCATATCCTGAAAACACATCATACCTCCCATGTTTGTTCCATGCATCCAGTTTGCTGTGTTTTACAATTACTTCAATTGTAAGAAAAAGTCCACAGTGTTATTTAAATATAGAGAAACTATAAGGTATAGTTTTTGTCCTGGTGTCTAAGGGACAGTAATGACTGTAGGCTGATAGAGACATCACAGTCTGTTTCCATAATATCTAGTTTATTTCTGAATTGCACAAAGAAATGGTGTTGTGATTTAAAGAAAGTTAATATAAATTTTAACTGGCAAAAATTCTGTTTCCATTGACTTACTGTACCCTAGCTGTTTACTTTTGTTTTACTTTAAGATATGTATTTTAAAGTGGTAGAAATCCTATCTATTGTCCCCCACAGCATTGCCAGTTATAAGAAAAATTAATACATCAAAGATCAAGGCCAGGAAATGGCCCAGTAGCTAAAAATACTGGCTGTCCTTCAGGGACCTGGTTTTGGTCCCCAGAACCCACATGGTGATTAAATACTAACTCCAGTTTTAGGGGATCTGATTGCTTCTTCTGGCCTCTGTGTGTACCAATCAGACAGATTGTACATGTGCATACATGCACATAAAATATCATAGACATCCTAGAAAACAGTAAAGGCATTTAAATGAAAATATTCCAAAAACAAGAGGGATATTAGAACCAAAATATCATTAAAGGTACATAATAGGAAAAAGATTGGAAACATATGGGTTGACAAAGAAACCTAAATTTCCACAGATGACTAACTTGTCAGCTTGTAAAATGGTTCTTTGGTAGGTTCTGTGACAGCATGCTTTTCTTCCAGAGCATGGAAAGCAATTCTGTGCTTGGAGGTTCAGATTGGAATATGGATGAACCAGAGGCAGCAAAGTTGCAGCCAGTTGTAGATCCACCTCAGTACCGTCTTCCTGCAGGTCTCTCTTGCATGCTAGGTGTGGTAGTTTGACTGTAATTGCCCCCATGAGCTCATTGAAAGTGATACTCTTAGGAGATGTGTCTTTGTTGGAGTAGGTATGGCCTTGTTGGAGGAAGTGTGTCACTGTGGAGGTGGGCTTTGTGCTCTCAAATATGCTCAAGCCATGCCCAGGGACTCAGACCACTTCCTGTTGCCTGTGGTTCAAGATGTAGGACTCTCAGCTCCTTCTCCAGAACCATGCCTGCCTTCATGCCACCATATCACACAATATGGACTAAATTGATAATGGACTAAATCTCTGAAACTATAAACCACCCAATTAAATGTTTTCCTTTATAAGAGTTGCTGTGGTTATGGTGTCTCTTCACAGCAATCGAAACCCTAAGATAATAGGGTACCAACAGGCAGCTGCATCAAATGTGGTTATTCCTCCATTGTCTGGGGAAATTGATTTTTTTTTTTATCCCAGAGGGAGTGCTCAGTTTTGAGACATTTGGGGAAACATCTGCTCATGCAAACTACTTGTAAAATCAGTGACTAGCATTGTTGTTTTGAAACTCTAACTTCTTCCAAAGACAGAGTAAGTATAGACTTCAGATACAGTGTTACACAGTTACATGGTGCCAACATCAGTGTACCCGCTGACTCCCTAACTTCCTTGATATTATATAATTACACTTGACACAAACTAGTCATTGTTTTGCCATCTTGTTCTCTCCCTATTCTGTCTGAACTTCTTAGGAAGAATTCTCCCAGAATATTTCATCTAGCCATGAAACTTTGCTATTATTGCAGAGCTCATTGAAAAAACAAACAAAAAGCTCATTCACGTGTATTTTGATACCAAGTTTTTCTTTGATTCTACCTAGAAAGGCTTAAGAATGACAAAGCAAATACAACTTTTATTGGAATGTGAATGAAAATAATCTTTCTTCAGATCTATTCTTAAGTTAGGAAAATATGTATTCTGTATCCTGGAACTTGAAGTACATTTTATCATGTAGATATGTTGCTCTTCTGTGATACACAACTATTTTAGAAGGGCTGTGTAGCTTCTGGTCTGGGACTGTTGCTAAGTAGTAGATCACTTTACATAAGATGTGTGAGAATATGAGTTTGTTCCCCCCGCTCAACACACCAACAAGCAGAAAGAACTATGCATTCTGGTAGTGAAAATTTTCTTAACTTACATTCTTGAACTCCAAGCAAACAAATTTATCTGGTAAATTTTTAGTAAACTCAATGTTCTCTTTACATTTTTAGCATTCTATTTACTATAAAATTTAATAAAGACTTTCTTAGTTGTATGTATATGGCTCTTAATTTTCACATATATGATCTTAATTTTGATAATTTTGCATACTGTATCATCTAAATAATTCTCAATATGAGTCAAAGGATTAAGCATTGAGTAAATAATTCATAAATATTGTCCCTTTCATATTTGTAAAGAAGTAAAACTGAAGACTCAGAACCAGAAACAAATATGAATTAAAACAATAGACAAGGAAGATTCCAGTAAATTCCCATGATCATTTTGCTTTCATGAACTGGAAGATATGATTTTTGTGCCTGTATGATGTAGGCCCCAAAGGGAAGAAGTAGTTGGGGTGGAATGACATGTGAGGAGAGTGTTACATAAAACAGTCAGGAGGGGACAGAATGAGAAAAGAGAAAGAAGGAGGAGATAAAGATAAAACAATCTAATTTTTTGGCAATGAATACCCTATAGACAGAAACATTACACTGTTATTATAACAGGGTTATACTATAAGTGGTATAAAATTATAAAACATATAATATTATAAACAGGATAAAATATTATAAATGGGTCACTTCAGTTAGGATATTTTAAAGTGCAGGCAAAGTTGGGATGTAATGTATGAGAAAAGAATGAAAGGAAAAAAACTTTAGGCAAACAGAAAAACCTGAAGCAATAAGCTTTAAAACTCACTTAAAAATATTTAGAATTTGGTTTCTCACCATTGCTTACCTCAGTGGCTCATTCATGTACCAAGGCTTTTCCATCCTATGGTGTAGTTCACCTGCAGATACTAGCTCCTGAGAGTGCAAGTTCATTGCAGCACCTCCAGCCTTGCATTGCACACAAGGTATTTTCCCTTTCCCATGATTTGTTATCATCAAAGTACAGTATATACTTACACCCTTACAAATGTCCTCTCAATGTTTCATTGAGCAGTATCATGACAAGCCCTTTCCAAAGACCTTTGTTCTCATAGGACTAGACCAGGAAGACAAACTAAATACGCATCTGGTAGCAGTGAGAAAAGAAGTTCTGATGGAAATATGTGCTATGGTGAGAAAGAGAGGTGACTCTATAAGCCCAAGGAAGAAGCCCGTATCCAACTACTCTAGGACAGAAGGAAAAGGGAATAATTTTTTTTATTTCAATGGTATAGATTTTATATGGAAGCATTATCATCTAGGAGGTCTTGATCAGGTTCATTTTTTGCCAGTTAAAAAAATTAAAAGGTAAGGTAAATGTCACCAGGGAACAGTAGGGAAGTTCTCAAAAGCAGCAGCAGACAGAAGCATCACAGAAAAAGGATTTCATTGGGGCGAGGAAACACACATAGACCAAGAACACAGAGAAATGACTCTGCAAAGCCCAGGGGGCACTCAGGAAGCCAAAGGCATGTCTTTCCTTAGAGATGGGGATTTTACGGGTCTTTGTGGGGTCTTCCTGTCCTAATTTAGGGTTGGTCAGTTTGAAAAATGATGGAAGCTGATATTATTGGTCCATAAATTTGGTTTAAAAATATGTTGGTCTGGCCTTGAATTTGTTGGACCAGTCCATATGCAGGGGGTCCTACAGGCATTAGCAAAAGCCCACTGTACAGACACTGGTGGTAGCTGTACAGTGACAGATCTTGAAGAATTGTAACACTCTAAGGTTTCTGTGTGGTGAATGCCTGAAATCAGACCTGTATCAGCGCTTGCTTAACTTGTTCTACTGATGGTCTCTTGTAGCTATTTCAAGCTATATCCAAGTTCACATATCTGTTCTCACTTCAATTTTACCACACAGCTGGTGACACATTCCCTCTAACTTTAAGTACTTTTTGTTTTTATTACATAGCATTTCCCTCCATATCCTACATTTTCCCTGGCTCAGTCTTCCTTACTTCAGCTGATTTTTTTTTTTTTTGCTTCCTCCTCGTGTCCTATGTCTTTAACTTCAGACTCAAAACATACAATTGCCCTTTTTAAGAAAGGCAGACCTACTGTACCATGACTTGCATTTTAACAGGACCTGTGCACTTAAGTTGGTAAGTACTTGGCTCTTCTTGCTTCAGATCACTTTGGTATCTAATAAACAAAAGAAGTCTCATGTTGAAATATTTTGTAGCATGTTCCTCATCAAGCACCATACCCTAACCTATGTCTTTGGTCTGCTCCTCAAACAAGGTGGCAGAGAGTGCTACCTAATATTATATATATCGAAGATTGGGGAGGAGATAGGAAAGGCAACAATACAGAAACACCAGAAGCTCTTAGTTTGTGCAGACTTCAAGGGAGCGCAGTTGGAATTTTTTTTTTTAAAGCAATGTTGTAAGAACTTGGAGTTACCCATAGGAGGTCACATAGCTTCACTGCCCCATCTCTTCCTTCTGTTCTCTTAGACCCAGGACACAGTGAGGTCTGGCACACTTCCAAGCTCCTCCATATTTCTCCTGTCATAAACTCTCTCCTGTCTTGTAACTATTCACGTGTCTCTGCACAGTTCGTTGCAAAGAGACACAAGAAACTGGAAGTTAAAGTGGCTGCCCTCCAGATGCAAATCTACATCTGAATGAGCAGGTCCTTTATCCTGTCTGCTTATACTGCTCTGCCTAGACATGACTGGCTCATGTTCAGCATCAACTTCACAATGCAATCTAAAGTAAACCTTTAGACTTGCTCACCTAAACTGCCCTGGCAAGAGAAGTCTTGCTGTCTTTAAGCTTCTGTTCACACACATAGTGGGCATGCAACATACCAATCATCCATTCATCTAGTTACAAGTTACTGAGTCCCTGTTGAATGCCAAGCTTGGTGTATGCAGTCAGAGAAAAATCCCTAAACAGATCTGAGCAGACGTAGAGTGAGTGACAGGTAACCCATGGTTTCATTTCTCACTTTCCTTGGTTCAAGTAGCAGGGCACTAATTGGGGAATGTCTGACTCTGATTACTTGCTTTGGAGTAGTCACTTTGCAGCTCTTAACCTGAAGAAGACCTGCCCACCCAAGAATATTTTAACAACTTACCAAACTTTTATTGTAGACTTTTAAATTGTTTATTTGCCTAGTTGCTTTTCCCAATCAGAACATACATTCATAGAAACATAATATTAGATCCATATCAATCACTTTGCAAAAAAAAAAAAACCTCCATATGGATTAAAGTACCAAATGTAAAACTTGAAAATGCTGAAACAGCCAGTAGAGAACATAGCAGTGCCCTACAAGACACAGGTGTAGGCAAGAGCTTTTTAACTAAGACCCCATTTGCCCAGGAATTTAGGTCAGACAAGTGGGACCTCATGAAGCCATAAAGCTTTTGTACCACTAAGGATAGAGTCAATTGAGTGAAGAGAAAACCACAAAAAAATGAGAGAGAATCTTTGCTGTTATTTATCTGACAGAGAGTATTAAGATGCTGAGTGCATAACAAACTAAAGAGTCAAGAAAAAATATTCCATTTGAACAGCAACAACAACAACAACAACAAAAAAACAGGCTACGGTTCTGAAGATAAGAAATAAAAATGGCTAAAAAATATCTCAGAACATGGTTCACCATCTCTAGAAATTTAGGAAATGCAAATCAGACAAATTTGCTATTTCCTCTCACCCCAGTTAGAAT